ACCTGCCCAGCAACTCTGAATGAACAACGGAGCTGCACTCTAGCCTGGCGACAGAAGGAGACTTTGTCTCAAACAAAAAAAAAAAAAAAAAAAAAAAAAAAAAAAAAAAAAGAAAGGAAAAGGGAAAAAGAGTAGGTGTTTTTCTGAAAACAGGTGTTGATCCTAAGCAAGTAAGAAAGTAGAAGGACTTGGGAGCCACAGTGGCTCAGGCCAGTTGTTCTTGCACATGAGTTGTCGAGGTTAGGCTTCGAGGCCAGTTTGGGCAACATATAAGCCTCTCATTCATTTAAAAAAAAAAGTAGAAACAAGCTACATGAGGAAAAAAGTGAATTAACCAGTTTTTAAAAAAGAACAAACTTCATGGCCAGGTGCGGTGGCTCACGCCTGTAATCCAAGCATTTTGGAGGCCAAGGCGGGTGTATCACCTGAGGCCGGGAGTTCAAGACCAGCCTGACCAACATGGTGAAACTCGGTCTTTAAAAAAAAAAAGAACAAATTTCAGAAAGGTAGCCTGAAGGAAAGCTTATCTACTTCAAAACACTCCTAGAACCAGCTTTGAATAGAATAGTTCCCATTTTGCAATACCAGCCACTTAGCAAAGAAAATCCAATTCTTCAGGCCTCAGGACGAAAGTAAAACTGGGGGGAGAAAAAAAGTACAAAAGATAAGGAGAGTTAAAGGGAAGTAAAATCTCCAGAAGAGTCCTTTCTGCTCCAGTGCTCAACTCAAGGGCCTCATGTACTGATCAAATCCCAGCCCCTCTTTTTTTTTCACATTTTCTGCAGCTAAACATGCAATTCTGCCTTCATGCTGAAGCTATCGGCTTCTGTTTGGTTGGTTGGGTTTTCTGTTTTGTTTTGTTTGTTTTGAGACAGAGTCTCACTCTGTCACCAGGCTGGAATGCAGTGGCATATAAGTCTATGGTATTTAAAACATTGTGGTACTCACTAGATACGTCACAGAACACATAACCCAGAAGCAGCATATATAGCTTTGAAGAAGGAAAGGCGGGGAAACAGACCTCTCCAACACGAACTGGGAAGGAAGGGGTGATTTTTTCTCCCGGGAGCAAGGCAGCATAGTTGCCTAATAGCCAAGCTCAAGCTCACAGAGAAAGTTTCTGCCCTTTTAAAAGCTTACAACTCTAGAAATTACATGTAAAACGGTCTTGGGCTTACAATTCTAGAATATGCATGTGAAAGGGTCTTGGGCTTACAACTCTAAAATTTACATGTGAAAGGGTCTTGGGCTTACAACTTTAGAATATACATGTGAAAGGGTCTTGGAGTAGGCATGGGGTATAGTGACTTAGGTGGGGGTTTGATCTTGTTTAAGTAAAAACAATGCTTTCTGGAAAGATTCCTCCACACCCTGCCTGTAATCTATAGGAGAGCAATTAAGGTGCTGCCCAGTATGCCCCCTTTACTTCTCCTATTGAAATGCAGTGTGGAAGTCAAGTGGGGGATGGTCTTAGATGCTTAAGGGTGATTAAGGGTCTCCTCCCTCAGCCTTAAGTGTCTCAAATTTCATCAGTTTATTAGGTCACAATTCGCTTTAATTTGCAATTCACTTATCTTCAGAGAGGAAAGTCTATTATCAAGTTCTGCTCTCTGTTTCTGGGAATTCTCTGGGGAATGTTTACATGTTTCGTCAATCATTCCTTAGTTACTGATAGCTCAACCCATGCTGCATCCTGGGACCCATCTCCGCCAGCCATTCAGCAGCCACCACATCAGCCCACTGCTTGTCTCCACTGAATTCCTTCTGAAGCATGGGCCCTGCCCTTTAGCTCTCTACTGTGATAGCGGAGGCAGATTCTCCGTGTGTGCAGGATGTCCTGAAGCTTAGAGATAAGAAAGGAACTAAAGTTTAGACAACCTGAAATTAGGTACCACAGATTGGCCCCGAGGACATCGGTAAATTAGAGATTATCTATATGCTTCCCTCATTCCTCAGCAAAACAATTTAACTTTTCCCCCTGTTCTTCTGGACTGCTTCCACGTTGATGGTCAGAAGAACTTGAATGGGTCAGTCTTAGTAATTGTCGTAAAGGAGTATTTCACAAAGCTTCTGAGTGAATCATCACATGTTGGTAACTCTGACTAGAACAACGTCTAGCCCTCCATCTACTGAATTTATTGGCAATACACTCTCTAAATGGGAGGACATAATCTGCTGGGGACTTGTCTTGTTTCAGAATAAATGTTGTCTGGAGACCTCTGTCACATAGAATGGAACTAATCATATCTGCCACATGCAAGTATGCAGTGTGACTGATCACTGTGTTGAAAAATGTATGGCCCTATTAGGTGTTATAAAATTGCTGTCTCTAGCATAACAACAGGAAAAAGATGTTTAATTGACAGAGGATACAGTCTGTACCTGGGAATGCTGGGCCCACACAATATGCATACATAGATGCTCTCCACTCATGTCCAACCTCCTTCACAGATATCCCCAACCCAGCCCTTCTCTGCCTAGCTCCCAGGCTGCCTCTAGGCCTGAGAGACTACCTGGCCCTCTCAGGAGTGCCCTTCTGCCCAGGGTTCAGGCGCTGCACAAGGCTGAGGAGAGGTCTTCCATGACCTCCTTTCCTGCCCCAGGAGTGCCCGTTTCCTGAGCGACTTACCAGAGGGATAGTCATTCTTTGCACAGAAGACCCCATTCATAGGAACGTCGGCCGGATGGTTGCTCATACCTGTAATCCCAACACTTCAGGAAGCTGAGGCGGATGAATCACTTAAGCCCAGGAGTTCAAGATCAGCCTTGACAACATGACGAAACCCCATCTCTACAAAAAATACAAACATTAGCCAGACATGCTGGTACATACCTATAGTCCCAGCTACTCAGGAGGCTGAGATGGGAGAATCACTTGAGCCCAGAGGTGAAGGTTGTAG